GTAATAATGCATTGAAATTTATGGTGATTTATCATTCAATTTTTTTACTTTTCGTTATAACCAAAAAAAAAATTTTTTTTAATTATCAATCGAAATGTCAAACCTTTACCCTCAGCAACAATATGCCAGCATTGTTTACTTAAAAATCTTAAATTTCAAATTTTCTTGAAAACTCAAATATCTTTAAATAAAAAAAATACGTTTCAACTAAATTTAGACATTTTTAAATTATAACTTAATTTTAATAGGACACAAATAGCGTTTTGCTATTGTTTTATATTAGCAATACTTGTTGACGCAAAAAAAAGTATTATAAATGTAAGTATTAATTAAAAAAAATGCAAGCTCATAATAATTTGAGTTAAAATTTACATAAATTGCTTTGCAAAATGGCAAATAGATTTAAACTTATTATTACTTATTATTATGCGTACCTAAGCAAGCTTTTTAAAAATTTGATTAAAAGTAAATATTATTAAAATATTTGAAATTTTTTATTTTTGCTGTGCAGTCAACAGCAGCAACTGGTTGCGCAAACCTTATAGTTACGTCAACAAAGTGAATGTTGTTTCAAAACAATTTATGAACATTTTGCRCAAACTTTGAATGAAATGACTGTTGTTGTAAGAAATTATTAATTTCAATATTTGTGAAAGAATGCGCTAAAACCGTTAAGAGCAATTTATTCGCGCAAAAGTTTGTTATAAAATCGAAATCACTTTATTTTACTTGCTAGCTGCAATAACAAGAAGTTATGAATTATTTTGGAAAATATTTGCGCAAACGGTTCGCACAAACTTTAATTTAAAACACCAAAAAAAATAATAAAATGTAAAAAGCATAAACAGTAAGTTGGCGCAAGCACTTGCCGAGCTAATTAGCACAAGCTTAGCCAAAACTGATAATTTACTTCCCAAAGATTTTATATAAAAACGAACTCGCTTATGAATTATTTTAGAAAGTTTTGATAAAAACACTTGCGCAAGCCGTTTGCACAAACTTTATATTTACAACATCAAAATAAACAAACTTACAGATACATGTGGTTAAAAATTGAAAAAGCACAAAAAACAAGTTTGCGCAAGAACTTGCGAACATAGTTGCGCAAACTTGGCTAAAAATATATTACTTAATATTTAACGGAATTTAATGCTTTGCATATGTACAAGACATATAATAAAAAAGGTTTGCGCAAACTTTCCATGCATGGGGTTAAATAGGTTATCGAAAAAAATACGCAAAATTAACACAGTTCTGCGTTAGATCTGTCTCTTATACACATCTAGATGTGTATAAGAGACAGGTATGTATGTATGTAAGCTTCAAAAAATGTAGTCTAAAAATTAACACTGTTTCGTAACGGTAATTTTTTATGTATAAAATATTAGAAATTTAAAAACATTTCTGTTTTGGAACAAATGATGTGTTAAATTTTGTATAAATAATTTAAAAAATTTGATTAGTTAATAGCCAAGCACCTGCAATGAGTAATCAGAATTGCATTTGGTAATTAAAGAGAAATAGTCTGGAAATATTTTTCAATAAAGATTATGTTTATGAAATTTTTTCACTCATAAATTTTTACAGATTTACTTACTATTAGGAATTAATGACTTTCTTGTTTACACTAGCAAACAAAGCTTATATCACTCATTAAAAACTGAGCAAATCGCGCGCAAATGTATATTTAATATTTAAAAAAATATTACATTTTAGCTACATTATTT